CACCGATTGATTTAACGTGAATCGGTACTCTGTACTTTTAAGGGTACCGACCAAATTGCGTCGGTACTACCGAGTTCTGTACCCAACCCTACTATTAATGAGAGCAGAGTTTTGAACACATCATATCATATCATATCCTTTCCTGTCCAGTCCACAGAATCTGATCGCTCAGTCTCAGTCAGGCACGGGTAAAACGGCTGCCTTTGTGCTGGCCATGTTAAGTCACGTGGACCCTGAAAACAAATGGCCTCAGGTATGAAATGCATCAGTGTCAGTGAATGTAATGCATAAATGCATGGCAATAATTCAGCTCTTTTGGTGTTAATGTCACTCTGACTCTCTGTGCCCAGTGTCTGTGTGTGTCCCCCACATACGAGCTCGCCCTACAGACGGGCAAGGTCATCGAACAGATGGGCAAATTTTACCCTGAAGTCCAACTGGTGTATGCCATCAGAGGAAACAAATGTAAGCGCTTTTATTTTAGGAGTTAAAATTTTCTGCACAGTCCTCTAGTAACACTATCTGTTATATTACTGCATGTTTTCTTGACTTTCTATCTCACTATCAAAGGATAACTACATGTTTATTACACAGGAGTAGCTTGTAATTGTGCATGTTATAATGTGGTGTTTGGTCCAGTGGAGCGGGGAACAAAATTACAGGAACAGATCGTGATTGGCACTCCCGGTACTGTTTTGGATTGGTGCCAAAAGCTTAAATTCATCGACCCCAGGAAGATCAAGGTGTTCGTCCTGGATGAAGCTGATGTCATGATCGCCACACAGGGCCATCAAGACCAGAGCATTCGTATCCCGAGGTACAGGCGGCTGGAGTTACAAATCATCATTTGTGTTCTACTGAAGAAACAAAGTCACCTACATCTTGGATGCCCTGGGGGTAAGCAGATAAACATCAAATTTTCATTCTTGGGTGAACTATCCCTTTAACAATTTAATTAATCTTCTAAAAAAAAAAAAAGCCTTTGTCCGGGGGTAAAAATTGTTTGAAAGTTTAATGGAGTAAATGAAGTCGAGGAGTCTATTCCATCAACTCCTATCCAAATAATCTGAAAGTGAACACCCCTAGTTAATTGGACAGCCCTACTTTTTCATCCAAAATTTGCATTTCATCCACATTTTGTGCATCATGGAAATCATAGGGTCCTACAAATATGGAAGGACCCCCCTCCCCCATTTCAAATTTTCACTCAAATTGCAATATTTAAATAGTTTCTGTTTAACTGTTTCACTAGTGATCTTTGATTTTTGGGACCCTGTAAATATGTAGTAAATTGAGGTTTTATCAACTAAGGATGTTGCTTTATATATTGTCCTCAATTAGTTCAGAGCATTAGGAAGAAATTTGCCTTTTTGAATTGCAGAATTTATCTATTACAACCTGTTGTTCTTGCTTTTTTACAGGATGCTTCCTAAAACTTGCCAGATGCTGCTGTTCTCTGCCACATTTGAAGACACTGTGTGGAACTTTGCAAAGAGGATCGTTCCCGACCCCAACATCATTAAACTTAAGCGTGAGGAGGAAACTCTGGACACCATCAAGCAGTACTACGTCATCTGCAACAGCAAGGAGGAGAAATTCCAGGCTTTGTGCAACATCTATGGAGCCATTACTATCGCACAGGCCATGATCTTCTGCCACGTAAGTAACAATAGCATTTGTTGATATGGTGGCGTTATTTCGGAGTACAACTTTAAATCACTGAAAGAAGTGGTAATACATGGACGCTTCCAAATATAACCATGTGATTTGCCGTCACAGACCAGGAAAACCGCCGGGTGGCTGGCAGGAGAGGTGTCCAGAGAAGGCCACCAGGTGGCGCTCCTCAGTGGAGAGATGCAGGTGGAACAGCGGGCAGCGGTCATCGAACGTTTCCGTGACGGCAAGGAGAAAGTTCTCGTTACCACTAATGTCTGTGCTAGAGGTATGTCGGCTGTCTGTCATTTTACCTTCAAGCTCATCTTCAGTTCAGGATGAGCAGATTTTGCCTAATGGCTTTTTTTTTTTTTGCAAACGTTTCTTCTATCAGGTATTGATGTGGAGCAAGTTTCAGTCGTTATCAACTTTGATCTGCCAGTGGACAGGGATGGAAACCCTGACAACGAGACGTATTTGCACAGAATCGGGCGTACTGGGCGATTCGGCAAGAGGGGGTTGGCGATCAACATGGTGGACAGCAGATTTAGCATGAACATCCTCAACCGCATCCAGGAGCACTTCAGTAAGATGAACCCTTATTTCTCATAACAAACTGATCAATGTCCTGGAGTAAGCTCTATCAGCAGAGTCCGAGACATTCTGTTGATTATTAGTAGGAAACAGTCCCTTATAGTCCCTCATTTTCTGAAACACAAAAATATACAAACAAATGTTTGTGAAAATGTTTACAATAATTCATAATTTGCATAAGGCACTGGAATGAAATACCGTAGTTTTTGAAAGTGCACAAGGCTGACATCTCTGAATTCCTTACTAAAGCCAGACTCAGACTACAGTGTTTGTTAAATCATAACTGATTATAAAATCTAGTTTCAATAGATTCTTCACAGAATTTTATCGCTCAAATCTCAAACATGCACACACTAAAAGAATTGAAAATCAGTGTATCACACTGCAAGACTATTCAAGTTTACAATGCCAGAGGAAGCACCTCACATGATCTCACTTCGGCTTACATAGCAGATTGTCATTTACATTTCAACAGCTAATGTTTACTAGCAGCTAATTTGTTAGCTGGTGCACTAGCAGTTTTCAACTCTCACCCGGTACGTTCAAAACTGAGGCGGTGTCTCCTTAGTTCTTCTCTTTGTCCGTATGGTTTTGGTAAGTTTTCAAGGTCAAGTGATTAGGGATGTAACGATTCACCACGAGCCGGTTGAAAATCGATACAAATATGTGACTATTCAAATCGGTTGAGATATTAAACGAATCGCGATACATTTGGGGGTGGGAGTTTATATGAATGTGTTTCTGAGGGGAACTTACTGTCTTTAGAAAAGTTTAGATATTTTCTTTTCATCTCGTCTGTATAATTCATGTTAAAGCAGCGTCTATAAGTGCTGTGCTGCTTTGTTTACAGCGGTAACCAAGGAAACGCTGTATTACTGCTGTTCCATAAGCGCCACCTGCTGTCAGAGAGTGAATCTGCGTCTCATTCAGAGCTTCTGCTCTGTTTCATGCAGATGCTTTGTAGTATAGTTTCACAAAACTAAAGTCAGAGCATTCTGTTTTTGTTTTAAAATGTCAAATTATACAATCTAATTTAGATTCAAAAACTGCTCATGTAGCATCTTCGTTTGGATTGTGATTCAAATGCAGTGGTCGCCTCTAATTTTGAATGGAAAGCCGAAGGCAAAGCCTTTGTTTATATGAAGAGATTTTTTTGTCGTCTTTGATTAGATTTGGGGTTTGTTTTAAAATTTCAATTTAGTTTTGTTATTTGACATAGTTCTGTTTCACAAAGAAATGTGCAGCATTTTGTTCAAGCAATAATAAAAGGACTAATTTTATCTTGTTTAAAAAAAACAAACCAAAAAAAAT